CCCCCCCCCTTTCTAGGAAGGTTCCCTCCCTATATATAGTTATGGAACCTTTATTGCGTTCTCGGGTAGAGGCGGATCCAGGATTTAAACTCGATGGGTTCAACTTTTAAGATTTTTAACATTGAACACATTATATTTTTAAAGTTATGGGTTCAAATCTATTATTTTTGTAATTTTAATGAATTTTTACATATAAATTTCTACCCCGCGTCGAAAGTTATGGGTTCAATTGAACCCATAATGTAAGGCCCCGTGAATTTCCTACTCAGAACCCCGAATCCCATGGTGCCAAGTTAGGAGCATATGTGGACCCTTTTGGATTGAACAGTGCATTAAAAAGTCAAGAAATAATGTTTTCCAGAGAAGTGCGATTTTGCGGTCGAGAATGCGGTCGCATATCAGGTATGCAGACCGCATAGGGGGCATACTCACCGCAAAGTGAGTTAGTGTGTTAGTCAAATTTGAGGTTAAATATGTGGTCTATTATGAGATCGCATAACCGATATGCGGACCACATAGTCGTCGCATAATTTCCTTGGGATTTTGCAATGAGCAGTTCTGTGGTGCATTATGCGACCACAGAACGGGTATGCGGACCGCATTTCTGCCTTATACCCAGACAGAATGTTCAGATTTTGGGAGCACTTTTGCGGACCATTCTGTGGGCCGCATTTCCACTTTGCGATCACAGACCTGACTCGGGGCTCCAATTTTCTAAATTTTAAACCCGACCCTTTATCGATATATTCGGTGTTATAGCTCATTTTGAGCATATTTCCTGATGCTTTTAGAGAGAGAGAGGGGGGGGGTCATAGAGAGGGAAGTGCTTCCCATCAAATTACTTCATGAAATCTTGCCAAATCTTTGAAGATAATCAAGTGAGGGCACCTAAATCTTCATCCCAAGAGGTAAGACTTCGTTACCTCAGCTCTTAATCCTATGCTTAGCAATAAGGGATCACTTGTAAAATAATTCATGGGTATAAAAATGAATTTCTTGCATGCATATCACACTATAGAATATTGGGAGGTAGTGAACTGAAAAGAAAGCAATTAGGGTATAAAATGATAGAAATTTCTCTCAAAAGGGCCTAAGATCACAATGCACCTTTAGTATTTTATAGTATTCTCAAAACAAGCTAGAATCTCAATCTCGTCTCTAATTCTCGGTTTAATTTGTAATTCTTACACAATAGATCGAAGTGCTAAAAGTTCCGAAATTTTGTAAGGAATAAGGAAAGCTTTATTGAGGTATGTATGGCTAAAACCCCGTCTTTTAGAAATTGAGCTTCATCGTTGGTTGTGTGAGTACGGTAAGATTTAATTGAATTGTTGTATTGATTGCTATTTCACTTGACTTGGTGTTGCAACCTTATATGCATGGAAACTGTGTCTCAAATTGATCAACGTGCTATTCTTGATAATTTGAAAAGGTGCAAGGACTATGAATCATGTATCGAAATGCTTAGACCTTAGATTGAAATTGAAGTGCGTTGTTGTGCCATTTACATGAAGTCTCATCTACGCCTACAACCTTATTTGCTCTTGTGTGCCATACTCTCTTGAATTACAAACCTAATGTTGAAAATGAGAACAATGTGAAACGTGAATTGCGGAATGTGAAAATTGTGGCCCCAAGTGTCGGTAAACTAATACATGTGTAACCAAAGATTGGAGTGAGATGAATAATGGAAAATGGTAATGCCACGGTGAGGCGGCCTAGATGATCGGGCCGTGATCGGACGCCATGACATAAACACATGACGGTTATGCATTGATGATTGAAACTGGAAAGTGTGAATAGAATATTGGTAACGTTTCCGGGAGACGGCCTAGCCGATCGGGTCGATATCGGACTCTGCTCAAGATAGCGGTGGTAATGTGAACGATGTGGAACAGTATGAAATGCCCAACTAAAGGCTATTGAAACATGATGTGAAGGTTGTGTAGTTCTTTCATGTTGATAATGTTGTGATCGTTTAAAGCTTTGGAGTGATACATGTGATTTCCTTATTTGTGTATGAAAGTTCTTTCTAATTTGATGGTATTTAGTTATACATACTAGTACTATTCCATGGTTCTAACGTCCCTTTTGCCGGGGGCGTTACATTTTTTTAAATGAAAGTAGGTGGCTCCATAGCGGATAGTGTCGGTCGTGTGTAGCTCAGCATCCCTCTTCTCAAGATCTTGGTGAGCCCCTTTCTCCTTCAAGGGGCTATATTGTATATCTTTGTATTGTGGACTTTCACTTTTGAGGTATAGTCGGGGCCTTGTTGCCAGCGTTGTCAAACTTATCTTTTGTATCCTAGAGGCTCCGTAGACATATGTGTGGGTTATGTAAGGGGGTTGGATGGGTCTACGAACCATGTTGTAATTCTAAACTTATGTTGCCTATAAATTGTAACTATATGGGGATGTTGGAAACTAACTCATCTTCGATTTAATGTGGTATTTAAAATGAACTATCAATGTAGAATGTGTTGTCTTTCCCCGTCTAAATGGATAAACTAAAGTATGGTTTCTTTATTCATATCGAGGTGGGTAGGAAGTGTATGGTAAGGCTTGCTCAGTTGGGTTCACTCGATTGAGCGTCGGTCGCGCCTCCCGAAGTTGGGGCGTGACACATAACTAACACACTACATCCGCCTCTGTTCTCGGGTCTTCAGACTTTCATACCACGTCTGCCTTTGTCGTTCCGTGACTGTTGTTTTTCAACTTGTCGGGTTTTGTGAGCGCGGGGTTTGGAGCAAACCATGTTGTCGTCCGCTATCTCATTGCTTGGCCGGGATTTCTGATGGGCTGACCGTAGCGATCAGATTTTGACCAATACATCACTATCTATAAGACTTCAACTCATTGTGGATTAAATTTCAAATTGCAATTGAATTTAATATGTTCAGAATCCAGTGGATCACCTGGTCTATCTTATAATGTATCTTCCACTATGCCTTCACAGTTGCTCCGGCAACTTCTACATTTGACCCCTTCAACCACTTTTACTACTAAAAAAATACTTTAGATTTAAATAAAGTATAATATAATATTGAAAAATATCGTCTCTGGGAAAAGAGGTAGTAATACAATAATTTTGGATGTCCATGGTATAAATTTCATAGTGAACGCGTGCAAACTATTTTTTTTTATAACGTAAATGTTTGTGGGTTGGTGAAAATTTTATTTTGTGTCTCATACAACTGACACTAGTTGTATGAGGCAATTTTTTTGTCTCACAGTTTTGTGGACCCAGAAGTGCAAGATTGGGGTCCACAAATTTGTGAGACAAAAATGAACCTCATACAACTAGTGTAAGTTGTACGAGACACAAAATAAAACTTCTCCTCGGTTGGTATGAGAAATAAGGAAGTGAATACAATATAACCTTGAGATGACTTATTCTGTCGCATATAATGTAAGAAGAAAAATGATACCACGAGTTGTAGCTTAACCATTTTAGAAGGTAACTTAAGGATTACGTGAAGAAATATGTGAATAAGAAAAAATTCATACCTGCGAAAGCCAATTTATAGTACTTGAAAATTTTTCGTATATAATTTCAAATCCAGATATGTAACCACACAAAAAAAAAAAGACAGAGAAGAAAATTCAGGGTACATTCTTTAAATCTCTACTTATTGAGACTCATTGAACCATCAATAAGAGATTGACAATCATCCATCCCCTTAGAGAAAATTATCAAATCAGAGAAACTCAGACACGATTAGGCGTTAAATTTGGAGGAGTAGGTGCCGATGCCACGCGCTTGCCCCGCTCTGATCGACAGTTCTCGGCGAACTTCAAGCTGTTTTGGTGCATACCTTTCTGCCGCTCAGCTTCGGTGTACTCTGCGGCATAATAATGTTCCTCGCTTCCCTTAACGGGGTCTTTTGTTGGTGGGAAAAACATGCTTCCCCATTGTGGGAAATGACAGAAAGTCACAGGAAGAGTGCATCCTATGATCATTAGTCCCATGTAAGTTAGCCCTGTTGCTGTCGAGTATTTTGAGCTCGTGAAGAACAACAGTTGTGTCAATCCAGAACCGAAATTTCCTCCAGCTCCAGTCATTCCTGAGATTATACCTAATGATCGGCGAGAAATGAAGGGAATAATACCGAATGTTGCACCACAAGCAGCTTGAGCACCAATAGAGAAAAGGATCATGAATGTGACGGCTATGGGCAGAGAATTTGAACGGCCCAACAGGACGCAGAATACTCCTCCGAGTGTTTGTAGTATCCAAAGGACCCAAAGTCTACCCCTCATGCCGAATCTTTTGGCTGCGTAATCTGAAGAAAATCCTCCGAATGGACGAGCTAATAAATTAGCCATACCAAATGTCGCTGCAATAATTCCCGCTGTGTGAAGCTTTAGATCAAATCTGTAGGTTTTTCCACAAATTAAATTCTGTTAGGGAGCTATATATAGGTAAATATATTTACTTTATTAATAAAATTTATACGATTAGTTAGTAATTCATTTTTTCGATATAGCAAGTAAAGTGTTTTATTTTTCAGATTACTAATTTCTCTTCATATGGACAATTATATTGTAATTGTGGATCTAATACATATCTTTTACTGTCTATAGAAGTTAAATCTATGTTGCTCGAACTCTCCAAAAGTGTTAGCCGCACCTGTATCGGATCCTCCAAAAATGCACTAAATTTGGAGGATCCGACACGCACCCAACAACATTTTTGAAGAGTCCGAGTAACATAGAGTTAAACTCATAAGTTAAATATATACTATAAGAAAAGAACCTGTCGAAGAAGTACTCCGCAATTACGTTGTCCGTAGACAGTTCAACTCCCATAGAGTATCCGTAGAGAAGGACAAAGATCCAAGTCCTGTAGTTTGTTGCAGCGTACCACAATATCTGATATAGCAGAAACATGAAGTATGTTAGCTAAAATTCTTCTCCCTTAAAAATTAAAAAATTAAAAAAAAAAATATATATATATATATATATATATATTAGATTTTCTTTTTTAAAGAGATGGAAGGAGTAATTAATCGGAGTACTGACGTTGGAAAATTTATCTTTAGAAACATTGCCCTTCTTCTGTAAATCACCACGGTTCCCATCAGGCAAATCTTGGCCAAGAGTCAATACCAAAATACCCATTACAACATGAAGCCAACCAGGAATGAAAAATGCAATTCTCCAAGCAGTGAATGGAGTTGCACCTGCTCTTCTTATTATATCATACAGAATTGGCATAATAAGTTGAGTCGCACCACCACCCATATTTCCCCATCCTGCAGCTGTTCCATTGACAAGTCCAATAATCTGACTATTAAACATAGTACTCATCCAATATTGGCACGACACAAATGTTGCTAGCGAGAATCCAATCATGAACCGGACAGCAACATATCCTCCAGCGGACGACACAAATGACATGCAAAATACAGTTGGGGCTGACAACATAATCAGAAATGCACAGCCATATCTTGGCCCTAACATATCACAAACTGCACCCATAACAAGCCTAGATAAAATACTTCCGGAAACGGAAGCAACTCCGGCATTACCAACATCCATTTTGGTTAAATTAAGGTTGTCCCTAATGATAGGAACTAAAGGGGCAGCAGCAAAAGTTGAAACAAAACAAGTGAAGAAAGAAATCCAGGAGAGCTGGAAAGTAAGACCATGAGGCTTTGAAAATGAATAAAATTTAAAAACCTTGGCTTTGTGTTCAGTATCAACTGGTACTGAAAATTTTGCCGTGGTATCGGTTGGCACCATCGGAGAAGCCGCTGAAAAAGCAAGAACTGGCTCTCTACCAGTGACTCCATGCATAGAACTCCCTGGTTCTCCCTCAATATCAGCCATTTTTTTTTCTTAAGGAAAAAAAACTGATAGCACAAAGATTGATTAAAATGTTAAAAGTAAAATTGATGTGTATTACTTTGGTTTAGTTCCTGGAAAGTATGCAGAGGGAGTGTTTATATAGGTATCAAAGCGTTGAGATTATGTAATTAAGGCCAACTGATTAGCGACTGCCAATGGCTACAACTGATGATATAATATTTGATTAATTAATTTTAAGGAATCCATTTCGCCGCATTTGAATATGAATAGTGCGACCTTATGGTATATCCCAAAGGTTCGCTGACCATTCTTGGTATCTTCGGTAATTAGCTGGAGTGCTATATACCACATCTATTACCCTTCTGGCGTACAAGTATCAAACCAATCTTTCGCAATTTGCAGGGTTTCTTATGCAAATCAATCATACTTTAATTCATCTAATTATTCCCTCAAAAGGCAGGTGCTGAGATTTTATGGACTAAAAACACTCATTGTAAAATCTTTACCGTTGTGCTTTGTTAAGCTTTCATGATTTATTGTAATATATATTTACAATATTTCTTGTTTTACCAACAAAACAATATCTTCCTGGCTTTCTTTCATTCCTAATTAGCTCTGGTCCGAAATAGTTATAGTTTTGACAAACTGAATTAGTTAAGTAATATCTGACATTTTAGAAAAGCAAAGTCATTTATTACTTTCTTTCAGTCTACCTTTATTGTTCTAATAACTGGCATCTGGATTAAGTAAATCATCTAAGGAGATAAGACTATTAAATTTATTTATGGGACTTGAAAATATCTTAGAAGACATGCATATAATATGCGCTAAGGTAGTACAGTCAAACCTTTTTATAACAGTCTTGTTTATTCCGATATTTTTTGGTTGTTATAATGAAGTGTTATTACATGTAGAAAATATATATTATAACGAAAACTTGGACGTTATACACTACTAAAAATCACCTGTTTACCGACGCAAGTTACCGACGGATGTCCGTCGGTAACAAGGCTTTACCGACGGAAGTCCGTCGGTAAGTGGTTGGTAGGTAAATCCTTCCTCGGTAAAATGTACCGACAGAATCCGTCGGTAACTTACCGACAGACCACATCGGAAAGTCATCGGTACATTTCTGACAGCAATTGGTCAAATAATTTTACTTGCCGACGGATATTCATCGGTATATTATAAAATAATATAATATTAATAATATCAATACCGACAGATATCCGTCGGTAAATTAAAAATAATAATTTAATAATAACGACGAACACCATCGGTAAGTTTAGAATTTTAATTTAGTAATATAAAAATTAAAAATATGAATAAATTCATATTCCGATGGCTATCCGTCGGTATTTTCAATTAAATCTGAAATTTTGGTTCAAGTCTACCGACGAACTCCCTCGCTAATTAAGAATTCTGGATTGAAAATGAATAGTTATTCCAACAGACTCTATCGGTAGGTCCCGCGATAAATCTGGTACATTTTTGGCAAGCAATGCCTATTTTTTTGTTGCACCACCTGCCAGCAGAATATTACAATACAAACTAAAATGCTACCACAATAAAACTCAACTTAACAACAACAAAACTTTATAAACTATATCCAAACATCCAAATTATCCCATCATACATCCAAATTATCCCATCAAACATCAAAATTATCCAACCAAACATCAAAATGCAACATTCAAAGTTAACATCCAACTAAACAACAATCCAACCAAACATAAAATCACTCATCTTCGGATTCCCCCTCATCTTCTTTATCATTTGTATTATTTCCATCACTTTCATCCTCTACATAAATGTGGCTTTTTGGCGGAGAGCGGGGCAGGCCGATTAAGTGGTTCACTTGAGCCTTGAGGGAGTCAATGTCATTCCTAAGTGCGTCTCTAATCTTCTCTTCATGCTTTCTTTTTTCTCGTTCATCCGCATAGTTCCTAGAAAGTTGTTGAATCGTTCGACGCATCTCCTCAAGGTCCTCATTTTGCACGGTGGCGGATGTACCAATACCTTGTAATCCACAAAAGAGAAGTGAAAAAGATACACGAAGAGTTAGAATTGAATAACACTATTTTAAGGCAATGCAATGACTTTGGACTAAACATTCCTGATTCCTACACTACACGGAAGCATCAAAAACAGAAAACATGAGCATTTTCAACCAAGGAACATACTATCAGACAAGCATAAAGACCCAAGTTAGTACAAAATGGCAAGGTCAAATTCCTAGAGTAATTCAGGGAAGTGAGAACTGGAAATAATTGGAGATAACAGAAACAAAAAATAGAGGAATGCCCTAAATTTCATAATTATCTTGAAGAGACTAAATATGTGGCAAAATATTGTGAAGAGCTTCTAATGTATTAACTCCACAATTGAAAGAACCTCTCCAGGCAGATAAGGATCTCATTTGAATCTCCAACCTTCCTTTCGGTAAGGATATGGGAAGAACACTTTACAGCAATGCATATCATAGAACTAGTACAATTCAAAGAGTGCAGAACAAGGCATTTAGATAAGTCATAATAATTGTAGTCATGTGGTTAAGTGTAGATTGAAAATCTGTAAAGAGATCTCCACATATTCAAGAAGAATCACTGCCTCACCCATAACCTCTATAGTATAACATTATCCAAGCAACATTTTAACGACTTGCATCACAAAAATAATTCGTAGTTAGTCAATCTTTTTCCGCATCAGAATTCGTAAAATATTAAGCAAGTTGGAAAAGAATTCAAGAAAGGGAAATCCAAATTCATGGATTAAAAGCAAATATCGAAAAAATTGAGCAAACCATTCCAGATTGTAGGCGAAAAAGGGTCATCTTTCTTGATGATTCAGAGTAAATTCATTGGAAGTCAATTTATATGCATGTAGAGTGGAACCAGATGTCTAATGAAGTCAATAAAACTGATATTACTAAACAGAATCACCAAAAAAGACAGACCGAGAACAGAGGTTCTTGAAAATAGATAGAGAGACAGTCCATCCAACTACTACTACTACTAATACTACTACCAAAAATAGTGAAGCCTAGTTAAAGGAGGATAGTATCTTCCTAAACCACTTTGCCTAAAGAAAGTTAGCAAACTGTACTTCAACTAAGCAAGCCATCAATATGACCACCACATTGAGCTCCTCAGATCATCTAGTCAATACATATAAATAGTTGTCGAACAATGTTATATCACTGTCATCGTTATCATTACAGAAAATATATCCTACATCAATTGTTCTCGGTCAGAGTCCTACTATGAAACTGATCAATAATAGCAGCATCTTCTCCATTATGGTTTAATTCACAATATTTGCTTTACAAAAAACCTGATTGAAGTAACAGACATTACAATTATCTAAGCCATATATTTTTTGATAACCGAATTGAACCATACATGTAAACACATGAAATCAAAAGGTTGTATTTCCAGAATGTGTTATTCTTTTAACTGACTCCGAAATACAGCTAACAAAAAGAAGAGCTTATTAACCAAAAAGTATATACCTTGTAGTCCACACGCGAGGCAATGAAAATTGCGCTCGGAGGAAAGGCCGTATGCTCTACCTTTATGCACGCCTCCAACCACGTTCAACCACAATGGGAGAGTTTCTTCCTCCGATGGCATGATTGACTGGCCTTGCTCATCGGTCGGCTGACTCCTAGCGAGCTCTTCCACTGCTTCTCTATACCTGTTCTACATTAAAAGTGAAATTTTATATATAAACAATCATTATTCATTATAAAAGAATTTTAAGTTAATCTTGATCTTACATAAGCCTCCTCAGCCAGTGGCTCAACCCAAGCTTCTTCCCCGATTTTGCTTTTTGTGTGGGTCTTCTTCCAAACCTCATCACGTTTCGTGGGTCTCTTAAGAGCAGCTTCTGCAAATGAAACAAAAAGAGTTAATAAATTCAAGTAATGTTAGAAAAAAAAAAAAGTAATTATCATCACTACCCTCAGTCTCTCCATGACTAGTCCACACATAGTAATTATCCATAAAGCCCTTACTATATAGATCAGTCTTAGCATCCTCTAGTTTCAACCATTTTCTACACTTGCATTTCGCACAAGGGCACCTAATCATCCCCTTATTTTGACTAAATTACATAGCATGATTAATAAACTCATCAACACCTTGTACAAAATCATCTCTTAAACCCCGCCGATTAGGAAGATTCCTATCGTACATCCACATACGATTTTATATCTACATATACAAACAATAAATTTATTATTTTCTACATAATATTTTCTTGCTCTATATTACTCTGTCATATTAGATATAATTGAAGGAGGAAGAAAGAAAAGAAAACTCAAACAGATCTAATTTTATAGGAGTAAATGATAATGTATAAGACTTTACACTATCATATTACAATAAATTACGACTAATACAGATTGCCTGTAGTAAGTACTGTATAAATTAGTAACCTTAAAAATAAAACAGTAAACCAATATTAATACTAATAAATTTTGCAACATACAAAATTACATTAATATTGTTTCCTCTTAGAGCAATAGAATGAAAGCAATAGGACAATTTCCATGATAAAGATGACTCGTCAGAATCAAGTAAAAAAGGAAATTGAGAGCAAAGAAACGATAATTTACCACCAAAAGAACATAAAAATTAATGTATCAGAACTCAATTTTACTACAATATTGCAATCACCTTTGTCTTCTTTCAGTAATTTTGATTGTATCAAAAACCCTAACCCACTTGTGCACATATTCTTTCAATAATAACTTATATACCAAACATTTAAAAAGAAAGAGATAAACACACAGAGAAAAGGAGCAGAAGATTGAGAGAGAGAGAGATGAAACAGAGAAGAGGAGCAGAATATAGATAGCTAGATAGAGAGAGGGGGGAGATCGAGATCGTACCTGCTGCGAACCGCGAGAGAAGGCAAAAGCTAGAAACCAGGTGCAACTCACAGCGAGAGAGCTGGAGAGATTTGTCTATGATCTGTCTAAGTTGAAGTAAGATTTGAAAATGATGGATTTTAGATTTCTAAACCTAAAACTAAAAGGGGAAACGACTGGTGCTTTCTTTTGTTGCTTTTAGATTGATGTAAGTAAATGGTGACAATTGATTATATGGATGTGTGTTACAGTATCTGCTTGAGGAAGTTGCCCTTGTTCCGGATCGATTAAAGAAGATCCCGTTGCAGGTCTGATGTCTGCCCCTTCTGATTTACCTGTGTGCCAAAAGCAAGTCTAATTTTAGTGGGTGTAAGCGGGTAACCAAAAAAATGGGGGGAAAGGAACGTATAGTGAAAATAAAAGGGGGGAAATATTTTAAAAAAATAACTAAGAATAAAGGGAAGTAAAATTTTACAACTATATTTATGTAATAAATAATATATATATATATATATATATATATATATTATAATTTAGTATATATTTCGGTACGGCATTAATATTTCGGTATTTTAAAAAAAATACCAAATACCATACCTAACAAATTACCTAGTATGTAATTATTATATAAAATATCAAATTGACAATTAATTAAATTCTAGCTAACAAATTACTATGAATCAATGAAAATCAAACTAATATTTTACAAAAACCTAACATAAAATTCTTCTTACTGTATAATTTATGTGTAATATTTAAGTTTCTGAAAATATTATGCCCATAATTGTAATATTTTTCAATGTAATTCATCTTTTAGCATTAATTAACAATGAAATTAATATTAATAATTTAAAATAAATCATAAGCTAATATTATTATTAATTTACAAGCTAATTACTACTAAACCACTTTCACGTAGTTAAGTATCAATTAATAGTCTAATCAAACACTAATATTACTTAAGGATATCACTAATGCACTTCTACTTATTGTAGTTATCATTTTATAAACTAAATAATGAGTAATATTTCTTAAGAATACTGCTAATACACTTCTACTTAGTAGAATTTTCAGTGTATAGGCTAATCAATCACTAATTTTTCTTACTGGTATTACTGATACACTTCTACTTAGTGTAATTCTCAATGTATAAGCTAATCAATCAGTAATAGTTCTTAAGAATACTATTAATACACTTCTACTTAATTAGTCTAATTATTAATACATGGGCTAATCAATCATTAAAATTACTTAAGGATACCACTAATACGCATCTACTTTCTGTAATTATCCATTTATAAGCTAACCAATCGCTAACATTTCTTATTGATATATTTCTAATACACTTCTGCTGAGTGTAAGAACTAAGAATACTACCAGTACACTTCTATATATATGTGTGTGTGTGAGAGAGTGTGTGTACTTTAAGAATATCACAAATACGTATCTACTTTTTGTAATTATCAATTTATAACCAAATCAATCGCTAACATTTCTCAGGTATAAGCTAATCAGTTAGTAATAGTTCTTAAGACTAATACTGATAAACTTTTACTTAATCAGTGTAATTACTAATAGATATGCTAATCAATCATTAACATTACTTAAGCATACCACTAATATGCATCTGCTTTATGTAATTATCAATTTATAAGTTAATCAATCGCTAACATTTCTTACTGATATTACTAATGCACTCCTACTTAGTGTAATTCTTAATGCATAAGCTAATGAATCAGTAATAGTTTTAAAGACTATACTAATACATACTTAATTAGTATAATTATCAATGTATAGGCTAATGAATCACTAGCGTTACTTCAGAATACTACTAATATTACTTAACGATACCACTAATAAACCTCCACTTTAATTATCAAATTAAAGATAAACAATCGCAAACATTTCTCACAAATATCATTAATACCCTTCCATTTAGTGTATAATTATCAATGTATCGGCTAATCAATCACTAACATTATTTATATAAGGATACCACTAGTTCACTAATTGTTAACGTTACTTAAGGACATCATGCATTAATACACTTCTACTTACAGTAATTATCAATTTATAAGATAAACCATCACTAATATTTCTTACGGAAACAACTAATACACTTCTTCTTGGTGTGTAATTATTAATGTATAGGTTAATCTATGTAGTTAAGGATACTACAAATTTACTTTTACTTTGTGTGATTATAAATTACTAAGCTAATTACCACTAATATATTTTTAAGTAGTGTATTACCTTCACTTAGTGTAAATTTCAATAAATAGGCTAATCAACCACTAAGATAATTAAGTAAATACTTATTGAGGGACTTACCGACAGTCTCTTTCGATATTTTGTAATAAAAAATACAAAATAATTATCTATAAGATTATATATTTAAATTACCGACGGAAGTCCATCGGTACTGTAAGAACGAAATTCAAATTATTATGTAAATGCAGTAGGATTGACTGCATTGATAACTTTTTTTTTTTTTTTTTTTAAAGTACCGAGAGACATCGTCGGTACCTAAAAAAATTAGATTAACTCTGCCTTGAACCCGATACAAGTGAATTTGACAATAAAACTCGAAGAACAGCGAATACAAATGCGTTAGGATGCAAAAACTACGAACTCAAACACGAACGGTCAACTCGATCTCAACTCAGTTCGTCTCTATTTTTGAAGGGAATCGAAGAAGAATAATGGAAAAACTCTTCTTCGATTTTTTCGGACTTTGAAACAGAACATAGCAAAAGAGACTGAAATTTTCACCTTCCTCCCCAGAATCGCACCTGAAAATGCACAAGCCAGTAAGGAAAACTAAAATGATTTTTTTTATCTTTTCTCTCCAAAAATCAAACTCCGAAAATTTTCTCTGTCACTCGAAATCGGAACTAGCCCTATTTGAAAACAAATCCCTTGATGAATGTGGGGCTTGGATTAAGTGAAATCGATCCAACGCCTCACACTCATCCACCTCCCCGTTCTCAGAACCTTCCAATCATGAGATATAGCTCAAATTCGAGCGAGTGAGAGGAGAAGAGAATCTTTGGTATTAGAAACCGTTAGAAATGGTGATGGGGAGAGAGGGGAAACGCGTGAGGTGAGATTTGGGATTCACTCGCCCGAATTTGGACTGAATTTGGGGCTTGGTTCGAGTGATTTTGGAGAAGACGAACAATACGCGTTGGTTTAGGCTTAGGGCTCATCCGCTCATCTCCTGTAGGTTTCATCGATTTATTTGGGGAACGGATCGGGTTGGCAGGCGGGTTGGCCGGGTATTGGACGGGTATGGGGATTTATGGGCCGGGTTTGGCCTGGTTTTTGGGGAAGAAATATTGGGCCATGGGTAAATTAGGACAATGTAGCCCAAACAACTTCTTCAATTCCCTTTTTTTCAATTAATTCTTTTTCTTCTTTTTTTCCAAAAATAAATTAAAATCTAAATTAAATCCTAGGACCTAATTAACCTGAAAAAACACTAATTAAAACTAATTAAAGATTATCACAATTAATTAAAAGTAAATTAAAAGAAAATTACTCAAAATCAAAGTTCAATTAAACTATTTTTGTGATTTTTTCAATTCTTATAAAATAACTAATTTACTACTTAATTCAAAAATGCAAAGTTAAATCCTAAATGCAAATGCGACATATTTTTGTATTTTTCGTTTATTAAATAAAATAAATATGCATAGACAAATGCAAACAATTATCAGAAAATGCCACAAAATCCTCAAAAATTCCAAAAAATGAAAAGAAATTATTCTGTTTGAATTTATGGGAGTAATTCATGTAGGGAAAAAATCACTTGCTCACAGCTGCCCCTCTTTGCCAGGAAACATGAAGAGTTTTCGTGCAAAGATAAAGTGAGCGGATACGAGCGATTTTTGCCCGTCTGAATACTCCGTGGGAAGCATTTTTGAAAGATTTGACCGCACCCTCCTTCCGAGGTTGCCTACATATCCTTGGCTAAAAAGGAATCAGGTCAGTATAGTTCAGGAATGTTTGGTAGTTGGGACTACCAGGAAGCTGTGATTTCGCTGTTGCTGTTGTTGTTGCTACTACTTACTGAACCCTCTTATTACACCATGTTAAAATAAAACAAGAAGCTAGACTAGACTATGGATTACAAAAGTCCTATCTATATCTTCAAACTTGCTCTTGTGTTTCTTGTTGCCTTGTTGTCCTCCATTCTCCCGGAGACATCCGTTTGTTGCCACCTTGAATTGTAAACTAAGATGTTTTCCCCTTCTTCAGGTGGGGCCTGACTGTTGAACTTGATATGTATTCTCATTCTATCCAGGCGGGCTCCTGACTTCAAAACGTGAATGTATTCCCATGTTATCCAGGCGGGCTCCTGACTGCTGACTTGAAATGCATTCCCTGCTCTTCAAGCGAGCTCCTGACTTCAAAATAAACAAAGCAAAGAATTTGAAAGCTAAAACTTAAATGGTACTCCCTTGTTCTCCAGGCGGGCTCCTGACTGCTGACTTGAAATGCATTCCCTGCTCTTCAAGCGAGCTCCTGACTTCAAAATAAACAAAGCAAAGAATTTGAAAGCTAAAACTTAAATGGTACTCCCTTGTTCTCCAGGCGGGCTCCTGACTGCTGACTTGAAATGCATTCCCTGCTCTTCAAGCGAGCTCCTGACTTCAAAATAAACAAAGCAAAGAATTTGAAAGCTAAAACTTAAATGGTACTCCCTTGTTCTCCAGGCGGGCTCCTGACTGCTGACTTGAAATGCATTCCCTGCTCTTCAAGCGAGCTCCTGACTTCAAAATAAACAAAGCAAAGAATTTGAAAGCTAAAACTTAAATGGTACTCCCTTGTTCTCCAGGCGGGCTCCTGACTGCTGACTTGAAATGCATTCCCTGCTCTTCAAGCGAGCTCCTGACTTCAAAATAAACAAAGCAAAGAATTTGAAAGCTAAAACTTAAATGGTACTCCCTTGTTCTCCAGGCGGGCTCCTGACTGCTGACTTGAAATGCATTCCCTGCTCTTCAAGCGAGCTCCTGACTTCAAAATAAACAAAGCAAAGAATTTGAAAGCTAAAACTTAAATGGTACTCCCTTGTTCTCCAGGCGGGCTCCTGACTGCTGACTTGAAATGCATTCCCTGCTCTTCAAGCGAGCTCCTGACTTCAAAATAAACAAAGCAAAGAATTTGAAAGCTAAAACTTAAATGGTACTCCCTTGTTCTCCAGGCGGGCTCCTGACTGCTGACTTGAAATGCATTCCCTGCTCTTCAAGCGAGCTCCTGACTTCAAAATAAACAAAGCAAAGAATTTGAAAGCTAAAACTTAAATGGTACTCCCTTGTTCTCCAGGCGGGCT